AAAATTTCCAAATCTTAAAAGCCATTCTTGAGGAAACAACATATTCCAAGCAAAGCTGAAACATGCCTACGATTTGTCTGATGGACCTCGTGGCAAGCCAGAACAGAAAAACAAAATTAATGCATACTGTTCTGTTCCAATTTCATCTGCAAATTTAAAATAAAAAGCAAATGCCATAACCCCCTTCCCAAAAGTCATTTTAGGATTGCAGTGAAAGAAAAAAAACATAGAGCCAATGCTCCTGCTTTGAGATTTTTAGAAGTAAAACAGCTGGGGCCAGCAACACCAGCACTGCTTTTCTAGCAGTTTGAAATAACAATATGTAAAAATATTGTTTGTCCACAAAACTATTTCACACATCTTCAAAAATCACCATTCTTTTAAAAAAAGTATAAATTTAAATGTATTCTCTCCCACACAAGAAAACACAATTTCTTCTACAAGAATAGTCATATATGGGCTGATCTAATAGCTCAAGACAACTGAAACATACCTTTAACATAACTCTGTTCCCATTGTGCTGGAAACAGGGGCTGGAAGGACACAGTAGCCTTTTCATTCAAAGGACTGTTCCCACCAAGACTGATTACAGTATTTCAGTAAGGAGATTTTTACTCAGAATTCTGTTTCGATAATTGGGTTAAAGAGTGTACCTGGAGCCCAACCACATTAACGTATCAATTAATGACCACACGCAATCATCTGGATTCGTAAGCTCATCGGGCGGTCCCTCCAACCCACATCTCGAGCCTGGCTTGCACTGCACCAAGGCAGCCTCAACGCAAAGGGGGGGGCTAGCAGCTGGGGCACCGAAAGGGTTAAAATCCCATGTCAAACAGCAAGTCCTGGCTCCAGACCAGAAGGGACATGGGAACCAGGGCAGCTGAGTTATAAAGGCCTTATTGTAGCAGCCCACTGGATTGGAAATGACTTGTAGGCCTAATGAAACAAAACTTTGGCAGTAAAACAGAATGAAAGGAATGAGACAATAAAAGAGAGGAACAAAGGAGCAGAGTTGTTTCAGCTTAGGAAAATAAGCTCACTTTGTTGTTGGGAAAAGCCAAAGCCGATTAGGATAAACCAATGACTAGGCATAAGTCTTCCAAACTAATTACACAGTTCGCCATGTGAAGTATAATTGCAAGTGGCAAAATAAGGACTACACTACTTTCACAGGAGCTCTATAAAGGGAGCATTACCTAGTAAAAAGCAAACCCTAAGAAGTTCCTTATCATCAGCTGCTTGCAGCTTAAAAGGTGCAGAACACGCACATCCTGAGAGAAGTGCAATTCGTTAGCATTTGGGGGCTTTCTTCTGCTGGTCACAGTCCTCTGGGTGAGGCTTTAAGGGACTGTTGCCTTTTTTTTTTTTTTCCTTTTTTAAATGATACCAGAAGCCTTAAACGCTCCAGCACGTCCTGGTCTCGAACAGCACCATTTTGCTTACACTTTCAGAAAGCCATAAAACAGGTAGATCCGCAGACACAGCCCTGCTGACGGCTCAGGGCAGCGCTTGTGGCTTCTCCGGAGGGGAGGAAAGCGCAGCCCCACCGAGCTTCCCTTTGGATCTCCTCACTTCCAACACTTCCTCATTGAAATTCTTTTAAAACTTGGTCTTAACAGCCAGCTTTTCACACGTCAGCACAAGGGCAACGCTGCAGACCCTGGATGGGTTAACATGGCCAGTGAGTTTATTTTGTTCTCAACAATGTTTGAAACATCTTTCCCTGAAATAACAGAGGATCACAGAAACAACTGCATTAGACTATCAGGATTAGGTAGTAAGACAATGGCTTTTTTTTTTTTTTTCCTTCTGATTGTAAACCGTTACGGCTTAGTTTGGAGTTTTGTATTCCCAGCTTAGCCTCCTCGCATCCTCCCATGGATCCTGCTCCCTGAAACAACTGGAAGGAGAAGCCTCAACCCCAAACTCTCTCGCCCAGATACGCCTCCCACCGGCTGCCGGACTGGGGCCCGCGCTGTCCTTACTGGCGGTGCTGGGCTGCGCTCCCTGCCGCCTGCACCGCCAGCCTGGCCAGGCTGTGTCCCACCAGGGCCAGCCCCCTCCTCGGCACCCAGACCCCCACCACAACTGGACGTGCACGGGTTCAGCATCACCAGCTCTAAGTGTTCAGCAATCACGAGGCTGTTGATTACACCGCTTCGTGCTCGTTCTGCTAAGCCTTTCGGCTTCACTCAGTTAATTTTCCCAGTCTTCCTCCGCAGCCTACAGCAGCTAGGGTTGCCCGTCTTCGCAAAATGAAAGCTGGGACTCCTGCAGATCCCGGGCTTTACAGAAAGAAGAAATAATCACTATCAGAAATTTCACGATCAAAGTCTCAGGAGTTATCATTACCACGTATTTTTGGCGCTCTAACGGGCAGGCATTTTCACTGGTGAAGTCAGCGAAGAGGATTTATTAAAGCACTCTTCTTACTGGAGAAAAAGGTTCTGGCATTTACTTTTCAAAAAGCTGTAGTTTCAAATTCGACACTTTAGGCCCTTTCCTGCCAACTCCAGTTAAAAGAGCAAGTCCGCCTGGCCCCAAAGCTGGTAGCTGTTCTAACCACATCATGTATTTTGCGAGCTACTTCCAGTTACCAAAACAACCTCCCCTGGTTGCAAAGCTCTTCTCTGCAGCAAGTACAAACAGGATTTCAAGAATCACAGCAGTAGGTAAGCAATTTTTTCCACACCAATAAGTAAGCTCAGCATTTCAAAGAGCAAGTCACCTGAGATGCTCTTATCAAATATGGGCGGCTCCTCTACATGTTAATTATGTAATGCAATTTTCTTTATTTTAGGAAAGCACTAAGCAAATGCAAACCTTGCCAATCGATCATGATGCATTGTTTGCATTGTAATGGCTTGACTGGAGAACGAGGATTGTGTGCTAAGCAGCGCACAGACGTATCACCAGTCCCTGCCACAAAGAGCTTGCAACCTGAGCAAGTCAAGGAAAGGTGGGGATGCAGAATGGAGAAAGAAGCAGTTCCTGAATGGTCCCACAGGGCCAATCCTGGCTCATTATTTCTGAGTGCAACATCCCACCCACTGCAGCGTATTAATGAGTCATCTAATTTAGCTGGCCCACAAGCCCCCATTTCCTAGGGTCATTAACGAGCTCTGCATCTTCTCACAACCAGAGCCTTGGGGAGAACCACCTCAAAACACCCCACAAACTAAACTGTCTTGGCTAATAAACAGCAAAACGCAGTAGAGAGAATCTGAATGCCTGCACGCAAGGTCAAGTCACGGTGACAAAGCCAAGAAGCCTCTCCTCCAAAATGCCACCGACTTCACCAAACTCATCTCCTTTTCACAAGCTAGAATAGGGAAGTGTGAAACAGGGATGCAACTGGAAAAGGTCCCCTGGTATCACAGGGACCAAGCCCTGTGAGCCCAAGTCCTACGGGAGCTGAGCTCTTCACAACTGCACCACGCAGCCTCAGCAGGACCTACCCCAGCTCTGCTGCCAGAGGAATGGGTTCCAGCCTCGATCGCAACCTGTGCAACTATTTTCAGTACCTTAATTATTTTAGTCTTCAAATTAAGACACTTGAAAAAGTATTCGATTTTCCAGAAGAATTGCCTTTGGAAAGCCAGACCTCTTTTAAGCTATCTCAAGAAAGGCAGAGCATGAAAGCAGAACTGAAGCGTCCCGAATCACTAGTCACTACTGAAAAACGCAGCCTAGTTGTCTGCATTCTCAGGGACTGTAAAGTTGCAAGCATGAAACTACCAGATGGTGAAATTAAAAAGACTATATTAAGACAGCATCCAGACAATATGCAAAGCGCTTATATTGAAACTATTATTAACTTCAAAAATACAGGTTAGAGTTCTGCAATTAGAAGTAACTACAGAAGAAACATCCAAAAGCTCATGTAATCCTTTAATAAAAGGCTCAGCAGGCTGTAAACATCCTGCCGGAATCGAAGATTATTATTGAAAATAAAATGAATGGTTTGGAAAACAACTATCAATCCAGCACAGGAACAATTTATAAACTCCCCTCCTCAGCCTTCAACAAAATACTGCCTGGCCAAGGCCTTTCAGGGCAGATAAAAGAAACAAACTAACTACAAGGAATGGTAGCCGCTTTCCTTTGGGAGATCCTGCTGTGTCCTCATGCAATCTTGCATCTAAATCATCAATTGATGCACTCCAAAAGACAGGAATCAGGCTGTATGGAGCCCCACGGATAGTGGGGCTGACAGGAGTCTCCATGGAATGTGGTACCATGAATTGCTCTAAAAGCAGACGGCTCTGCAAGCTCTTCACCTCGTCGGACTCCTGACCAAGCATCCAGAAGCCTTGGAGATCCAGGAAGCTCCATGGAAGTTGGTGGCACTAAGCTCCAGCCAGAGCCTGGACTGTGGGGTTTGAGCTGTTCCATCATGGAAAAGACTATTCTGGCAAGGTTCAGGTCTCCTTCTGTGCATAAACTTGTTTGAGTTTTGGGGTTTTTTTAAAATGATGTCAGGATTCTATACATATTTCCACAGGATCTTGCATAACGATTTTTTAATAAGAAATTAAATGGATATTCTAGTGACTTCCATATTACTCTGTTGTTCACGTGGTTCCTTCAGGCATTTTCGCAACTTAATGAGCGCTCTCAAATACATCTATCTGCTCCTTTTGCCACTGGAATCAGGGATAAACAGAAGGCTGATTTTTACAGAGAAGACAACTGTGTAATCATTCAGCTAAGGGTCAAATTCTTCCTGAACATACACAAATTCACCTCCCAATGACTCTTTTTTCTTAATGAAAGTAAACAGTGTTGGCAGTGTTGTACACATACACATGCAACAAACAGAAAAGAAATTCCAGAGGCTTCGAGAAATTACACTGAAAGGCAAAAAATGTGGCCCTCCTTTGAGCATAGGCCTCATTGCACTTTTGTTTTTCAAAACACACTTTAAAAAGAAAGGGGGGGCGGGGGGGGGGGGGAAGAATTCAAAATATGTAGTGCTCACTTGGGCAGGAACTTACCTTGCCAAACTGTTCAAAGTATTGCTTTACGTCTTCCACTACTGTATTAGCCGATAATCCACCTACAAATATTTTCTTTGTTCTTGTGACCATCTGTAAGAAATTACAAGACAAGCATACGGTTTAACCAGATTATTTCAAACAATATGTAGAAAAAAGAAATATTCTTCAGATGCCATCCCTTACCCAGTTAATGAGAATATTTCTTTACAAAAGCAATTCAGATTCTATTTGATTAGATACTTCTTTTTTGATTTGTCTTGTTTTGTTTTTATTTGAGAAATGGCTGAGCAAATGCACTCAATAACAACTCTAGCCCCCGGATATTTTTTTTTAATAAATGATTTTTATTGTGCTTCGCAATGCAAATATAAGTGGAAAAGGAGTCCAAGTGTCGTATCCTTATAGCTACCGTCTCAAAAAAGATGTGCCATCCCCCTCCCCCCCCGCCCTTTTTTCCTAAGGACAGAGTGCAGGCTCTTTGGCAGACAAAAGGTAACTACATCAAATAGATGTGTCATTAAGTTTCTATGGGTCAGTTTAAAAGGAATTTACTTGCGCAGTTAATTTAAATATAATCCAACAATGAAAGACAGAAGTGCTACTGATGCAGTCCTCTAGCTGCCACAAACCACGCTTCAGCTGAAACTCTCACAGTATTACCGTCCACCAGGGGCTGGGTCAGGCCCTTCCGAAACCCCTTCATATTCCCCAAGACCCCAGCGGAGCACCCAGCTCTTCTTGCTGACCCACATGCACCTGAGTTTGGTCCACACAAGGTGAGGGGATGATGCTGGACTCCCTACAGAGAACATACTATCAGATAACCCATTATCCATAACCTATAATCCTTTGATGGGCAGGATCCAGCCTGAGGATGCAAACCCCAACGGTGGCAGGGGAAGCTGGTGTCTTTGGTGGGCCGATCCCAAACCACTTGACCCTTGTGGGTCACCTTAAACCAAGGCAGATCCAGGACAACGTTGTCAGCATGCTCCAAAGGGGCAGGCATCATCCCCGTACGCTTGGACAGAGGGGAAATGCCCCAGCGTACAGCAGGCAATGCCCTTACAACTGGAGACAACTAATTAGCAACCTACCCCACCACATACAGATGTTTTAAAGCCAGCACTGCATGTTAACTCAAGAAACCAACAAACACATTAATGAGAAATTTGCGCATTAAAATGCCCGAGTTTGTTTTCTGTATGAAACTGGCTGAAGCAGCCAGCTTACAGAGGCTGAAGGGAAAAAAATGCCCCGTAACTCCAGGACCAGGACTCGCCCGGTTAAATAATGTTCAGCAAATGCTGAAGCTATGCAAAGGGAACAACGGCGGGCAGTCGGCCGGAGACACGACTGCTGCAGCTCCTCAATGCAGAGCCTGGATTTTTCTCTACTTTTTTTATTTTTTCCACTGAAGATGAGATGCATTTTAAGATAGCTGCTGAAGGTCGCAAGGTGCAGCCCAGCGCGTTCTCGGGGGCTGCCTGGGGGGTCACCGCACTCGGGCGGCAGCTCGGCCACCCCATCGCGCCAGGGACTCCCCCCCCACGCCACGAGACCCCGTCCCACACATCAGACCCACTGAGAGCGACGGTGCTCCCAAAACTGGCATCGGCCCAGCCGGGCTTTGCTACGCAAGTAGAGCCACGGTGACAAGCCATGCTGTGCGGCTGCGGGCAAAGCCTTCGCAGAACTGAGACGCTGAACAAAAAGCTTGGAGTAGCCCCAAATTCTCTCAGTGCAGAACAAATTAAACATCACTCCTGTCTCCACTGCCATTCAAATTAACCAGGGTAGATATTTCCCTCCATCGGCCCCTAACCATGCTTTACAGAGCTCCACTACTTTTTTTTTTTTAAAGTTAGGAAGAAAAGAGAGGAAAAAAACAGTGTAAAAATTCAATTATTTTTTCCTGGCTGCAATCTAGGACTCCGAAATTGAAGCCCAAGCATATATTTTTCTGTAGAAAATTGTCATTTACAAATAAAGAATTGGCTAAAGCCGACTTGTAACTAAAGGATTTTGCAGGGCTGTCAAGAGCCCTCTGCCTGCCAGCATCTGATTTAAGATCAGGCCAAGCTTCTGTTGTCATACAAAAGAGAGAGGAAAGCAATTATTCTAAAGCAATATTTGAAATTATCATCATTTTTATATTTGACCAAGAAAGAAAGAAAGAAAAAGAGGGCTACTTCTTTTAGAAGCAAGATTGAAGGTTAGAGAGAAAAAAGAAAAAAAAAAAAGACTACTTTGTTTCAATAGCTTCAGTCAAAGAAAATATTGGTAATGACAAGCAAATTCACAACATTTTAATGCCTAGAGATGTGTTGCGAGCTGGGAAATGGTTTCAGAAATCAGCTCTTTGGTACAAAAGTGAAGCACAAAATTAAGTCTGCTTTTACAATCTACGTTTTCCTGAAGAGACTGTTCAATTGCTTTGTTACACGTATTCCCCTCAGCAAAAGAACAGAAGTAATGCGTAGCCTTAGCAATTTCTCCTATGCTGACGTGCCTCAACAGAGGCATTTGTTGCTTTCCCTTCACCCACGGCACGAGGTACCAACGTGCCCCCAGACCGGCCACGGGCTCGGTCAGGAGTCACTTCCTCGCCTCCCCCATCTGACACAACCCCACGATCACCAGCGGCCGCGGTCGTGACAGAGGCACAGGTTTGGAAGCCAGCTTTCTCCCTGTAAAGATCCGGATCCCTGTAAAGATCACGGAGCTGAACGAATGAAGCCCGCTTGCCACAGTGCCACGACGGGCATCCCGCAGCCGGCGACGCGGCCAGCACCGCGCTCAGCCTCAGGGAGCCCCAGCAGATGGGAGTTGCCGTTTCTGCTGGAAGCACCCATTTCTTTCTCAAACATTAATGCCGGGTAAACTGCTGTACGCAAGTTGACTTGTCTGTGCTAGTACAGCCTCACCAGTTTTCAATTATTAGATAACTGCAGTGGGACTCAGACCAACTGGAAACAAAGCGTCCAACTCCTGCTCTAACCTGCAAATCCTCTCTCATTAGCCAAGCGGACGAGTTACGAGGCAAGGCTTCACCACGGTAAAAACCGCGGAGCACTGTGGTCCTGCTCTCGGGGCTGCCAGGCAGCAGAACAGAGCTTTGCACCGGACCCAGAGACTCAGAGCGCACACTGTTCGCCTAATAGCTAACAGCCAAAGGTTTGCAAACATGTTAGCCAAACATGACGGAGCATTCAAAAGACATTAAAAAAAAAAAAAGTATTCACTAACTCAGGGATTTTACTACACCAGGGACACCTGTGTAGATCAGCCACTGAATCACCAATAAAAAAGATTTTAAAGCACATCAAATTGCCAGGACCAGGCACATTGACAGACAAATTCTGAGAAAACTGACATTAACTAGAAAGTGCCCAAAACTCTCATTGCTAATGGCTGTGAGGGCACAGGAGGAGACCGCCTTACTTCTCACGAAGTACCCTCAGCAGGAGACAGGGCACCAACACCGACAGGCTTCTGGTTCACCCCAGTGAGTGATGTTCTTACTATCTGATACAATATTCTCCACCATCACCTCCCCAGATCCGTGCTTGTTTCAGGGAGGAAAAACAAAGGGTTAAAAAGTATTTAATGAAGTACACTTAGTGCCGTTTAGTAAACATTAAAGATGACAAATGATCAGAGGCACAAGGAACTGAGCCAACTGCAGAGTTTCTCTTTTAAAAATTAGAGTATTTTTAAATCAAAATTTCTCATTTGGCTCAGAGAATAAATCAGCATATCTTTAAACAAATTAAAAAAAAAATCTACAATTTTAGAAAAACATTTCTGTATCTATCCAAGAAAAACCACATTATAAATTTTTTTTTATTATTATAACAGAAAGCCCAAAACCTAGGAGGCCCCAGCCTGAAGTCCCTCAAATGACAGTCACTGAGGTTCTTTATCTTTTCCTGCGAGTAAATTTAGAATCTGCTTTCTGAAGGTTGCTTACAATGGGGGCACTCCCAGAAACAGCAAAAGGGAGTCACCTGTAGTGATTTTGGGTTCGGTCCCTCAGACAGCAGCTCCATCTGCTCTTTGCCTGGGGTGGGAACAGCAGTGTTTGGGTAATAGGAGGTGATTTGTGTGAATCAATCACAAATCCATGTTTTATGAATGACTCCAAGAGGTCTGGGTCACTCAGAAACCACAATACTTCCAGCTTCATGTCTTTGTTTTTAATTTGCAGTATAATATATCTATCACTCACTACTGCAGGGCTCTGCAAAATGTAGATATTAAATGGTTTTGGAGCTTTTGTATACTGAAGGTGTCTCTCTCTCGCTGCAGAAGGAATTGACAGGGGAGAGTTAGATCTAACGTTGGTTATAAAGTCCGTTAATTGTAAGTACCTGCAGAATTGCTTTGTTTGTATACTGTGTTAGTGTTGCAGTTAATCAAAACACATGTGCCTACTACTGCGAAGAGTCATTCAAGGTTACCATCTCTTTATTGGCTTGGCTTTTGAAAAATACATTCACCTTTGTGTTCTGAAACTAAGCAAACACTTCAGGTGATGCAGAAGCAGGAAAAAGCCACCTTGCTTCAGCAGCAAGACAAGTCTTCTGATTTTATGCCATTTTTTGCAAGGTTAAGGTTGTAATTAGATCAGTTTGGGGCATATCAGGTGAATCTTCTCTAAACAACAGGCTGAAGATGCAGTCTCTGAAAACAAAAATCCTGTCCCACTCAAACATGTCAGTACAGTATGTGAGCTAAAACCAGCCAACTCGGGTAAAACGAAGGAACTGCAGTTCTGCAAAGTTAGAGCCTCCAGTTCGGCATCCGTTAATATCCTTGCATACTCAGGTACCGACTCTGTTCTTTGTTTTCTTGGTGTTTCCTCCCCACGCACACTGAAACTGTCTTATTATCATGACTATTAAAAATGAATAAAGGGGATTTTAAGCTCATAAAATATTTTTGCAGAATTCCCAGAATTTCAAAATCTCAAGCAACAAGTATCCACTGCTCTTTTCAGATGAGCCAAGGCCCAGTCTATGTTTAACACAGGAGTTACATATTTGACTTTAGGGTAATGGTTTTAAGTGTCACTTCCCTACCGTTCC